TTGTTCACTCGATGATGCAATCTCATTAAAATCTCTACCCACCAACCAAGCTTCCTCTATCGAGTTGGCAATATTGCTCAAATTTCCCTAAAGTTCTTCTCTATTCACTCCCTGAGGATTAGCATAAACCACAATTAAAAACTAGAATTCATTACCTTCTCCAACCCTCTCATGCAAAAAACTGCTCATCACTACTAATAACTTTAATTTTCATAGCATCATCTTTCCAGCATAACCACATACCTCCAGAGAATCCCATGGCTTTTACTCTTCTAGAATGCAAAAATCCTAAATTTCTAATAACTTCAGAACCCCTCCTTCTACTGACTCTTGGCTCTAATAAAGCCACTAAGTCAAGATGATATCTTCTCATTAAATCTCTACAAATAATGGCAAACTGTCTTCCAGCAACTCCCTTACAATTCCATGTTATTACTTTCATAAAGATAACCATTAGCAAAAGAAGACCAGCACTATTGTGCACCTTCTACTATCTCCTCTTTATCTATCTCAAGGCCCTCATGCCATGCATCCTCTTTAACAACTATCATTTCACCTTCTCCAACCTTCGGTTCATCATCTCCCTTCTCGGGAACCAATCTTTTAGTACTATCCTCTCCTCCCATCCTTTCATGAGACACAATTATCTTATCAGTAGATTCATTCATTACTCTTTCCTCTAATTTCCATCTTTGGTCAACCATATTCACCTGTACATCCCTATTTTCAACATCTATATCAACATGTACCACATTATTCTCTTTTGACTCCTTTCCACTCTCATAAGTCTTAACCTTACACCTTCATTCTGAACAGAGAAATTAGTGACATTTCTTAAAGGTTCTCTACTTATAGTATCATTACTCTTTCCCTTTACTTCCTTTTCTACCATACCTTCTTACTACCGTTCTCTACTACCACCTTTTTACTCTCCAACATACCATCATCCTCCTTACCTTCGTTGTCATCCAAAACTACAAAGCGAGACTGATTCATTATCTGCTTAAAATTGGATCTAGGTCTTCTACCCCTTTTTGGCCTTTGCACAACCTTCCATGGATTCCTACTTCCTTCTTCCTCTTCTCTAACATCTCCTTCTTCCAACCCCTTATTATTTTCCATTTTCCTATCTCCACTAGCTACTTCTAATGAAACCTTCTCCTTCACATTTGTCCCATAGTTGTCCTTCAAATGTCCATATCTTCCACACTTCAAACATAACAAACTCATACTTTTATACACAATTGGCATTTTTTCACCATTCACAGTATACTCAAGTAATAGAGGCTTAGACAGATCAATCTCCATATAAACTCTAGCAAATCTACCTCCATCTTTTCTAGCAATTAGAATATCCACTTTAATAACCTTTTCAATCTTAGAAGCAAAATTAAGCAACATTTTCTTATCAAACCATTCAAAAGAGATTTCAAGTAATCTTACCCAAGTCGCAATCTTCAACGCCTTTTCCTTTTGTTGATTTAAATCCTAGCCTCCAATGCATAACACTACGATAACTATCCATAGCAACTTACGGACCACCTATAAGTGCCAACATATAATCTTCTTCATCCTAAAATTTTTCCAAATACCAATCAACTCCAATATCAATCACCTTCATTGAACCTTTTTTTCCCCAAATTTGAGAAAACCTTTCGACACAGAGTAGAATATGCAACTAATTTTTCCATCACCTTTACTATCAAAGTCTTCAAGAAAGGCTCAATTAATCTTTGTTGTTCCTTATCTTCAATTACAAGGTTCAGACACATTAGATCTAATCTATCAACCCTTACACCTTTACCACATTCCTTTAGTCCACTAAAACTAGTATCTACCTCCTCCTCAATTGGAACATTCCATCCCTCATTTCGACTCTCTATTCATCAAAGAGTCTCGATATGATCTCATCTCCAAATTTAATCCTCTACCTCCATCATTCTCTTCCATCCAATTCTCCAATCTAGGTTTCAACAAAACATCCCCCAATAAATGTGCACCATTCCTTCTAACCTTCTTCTTACTATGATCCAGAGCATCCTCCTCCTCCGTTATGAGCTCCCCAATCACCCCCTTTCGCCACTCACCAGGGCTCCTAGCAGTTGTAAGAGCAACATCACTAGCTCAACAAAGGTTTGAGTCACTTTTTATGAATTCTATTATTTTATGAAGCCACCTAAAAATCTGTTTAAAGGCTGTGTTTTCATGTCACATTGTCCTTTTTACAAATTCTTCAATTATATGAAGCCATGTAGATTTTCTATTTAAAATTTTTTTATAAGAAATTATAAATATGTCCGTTAAAAAAGGATTGTGAAAGGAATAATATTTTTTTCTTGAATTGAAAAATAAATTAATAAAATATATAACGGATACCGATTGCAAATATGTTAAATATGTGTGTGTGTATAATATTTCAAATATGCATATTACCCTTCAACTTTAATTGAAATTTATTTTCCTTTCACTGATCTATCTCAATGAAAGTCAAATTGACTCATCATTTAACCTTTATCATATATAAAAGTAAGGTTAGCATGTGTATATTCATGCCATGTACATGTGTGTGTCTCTCTCTTTTAATTTTATAATTCTGTGAAGTTAGGTAGGATTCTATTTAAAAAATATTTTAATCCATATATCTATATATATATATATATATAAGTATATCATGATTACTGTTCATTTAATCTATATTTTAATCATAATTTTTTCAGGAAAAAAAATAATCCTTGTAAAGTAAGAGCTCCTGTGAGATCCATGATAAAAAAGATTTGTGCATATGAGACTTATAATAAAAAATAGTATTAGATTTAATTTTTTTGTAAAGGCAAGAGATTTACTTATTATTTGTTACTTGTATTTTGTATATGTGTAAGATAATTAATTGTATTATAAATTATAAATTTAAATAATAAATTATAAAATAGAATCCTTTATTACAATGAAATTACAAACTTAATCTATATGAATTATAAAATGTATAATTTAATGGATAATTTTTCTTGTTTTAAATCTTGACTCACATTGAATAACAGACTCTACATAAAATAATTTTTTAATTTTATTTTTAAAACATACTATATAATAAATTATAAAACAAAATAAATTTCTATGGGATGAACATTGGCTTATTTTTTTAAAAAAAAATTTTATGTTGAAGGATCATGTGTGACTCATAGTATTTTTTATAAAATTAATTTTTTATTATTTAAATTCTAATTTATGAGTGAATAACACATCTCATAGTAATAAATTATTATTATAATTTTAGCATATATAGAGTAAAAAAATTTTATATATAATTTTTTAATATGTATGGGGTATGTTATTTATGCTTTCAATAAGTGAACAGATAAAAAAATTTAAAATATGAGAAGGTGTTATTTAAATTTTATTTTCTGGAAGGTAATGCATTAAATTTTAATTTATAAAATAGAATTTTATTTTCTTGCATGAGTTCCAGTATTGTTACTAAAATTTTAATTTACACTGAACAACTAAAAAAAGATTCAGGAATATCTATTGGAGGTAATTTTTTTCTTTAATTAATTATGGAGGGATTTAGTAAAAAATATATTTTTTTAACTTGGCTTCAAAATTTTCTCACATACTAATCAAAGAAAAAATACAAATATATCCCAAAAATAACATACTTTAAGATAAAATGAGTAATTATTTTTATGTTTCATATATATAGGAAAAACAATTTTTACTATAGAATAAATTATTATTAAAAATTTAACTTATATAAATCAATAAAATATGATATTTTCTGTGCACAAAAATAATCTTGTTATGTTTTAAATATTAATATATCCCGGTACATCAAGGAATAAATCTACTTTCATAATAAATTCTAGAGAAAATTAATCTTTTAGTTTTTAAAGTTTTGACTTGAATATAACTCAATCTCCCAACTTTAATTTATTATAATTTAGTTTTTATTGTTTTAATTTCTTACAACTCAGTTTTTATAATTATGGAATAATATGGTTAATTTATTTTTTGTATTATATATTTCAGAAATTTTTTTTTTGCTGACATATTTCAGAAATCTAGTCAAGGGAAAATAAAATATATACAATTAATAAAACATCTATACGTACATGCATAAAAATATTTAGGTAGATAAGGTGCACCGTGATTGGTGGTCTATGCGATAAAAATGTTATATTTAAATGGTATTAAATATAAATTAATTTTGATATTAATGATAATAAGGAGAGAAAAGTCAAGAAATTAAATATGTATTCTGTTATAAAAATAAAATTAATTTAAAAATGTCATTACTTAAAGTATTTTTAATTGGACATACTACAAATGATGTGACATACTTGATTTATTTAAGTATTTCTCCACACATACATACATAAATTTGAGTCCACTATTTCATAAATATAAAAATAATAACTTATCTCAAATCTAACTCTAAACTTGAATTAGAACCTAACTTTAAAGTATATAATTATAAGAAAGATATTTCAAAACACAAAATTTTAAAAAGCACACCAAAGCTAACCTTATATGTGTGTGTGTAATGATTATAAATTGAATTTATATAAAAACAAAATCTGATATTATATTATTGTAAACAAATACAGACTAATTTAACCCCTTGATTTGAAATGAGCGTAATTGAAATTCAAACAATGAAATACCCTATAAATAAAATTAAAGAAATAGTACGTAACCACTCCTTTATATGTATTAATTTTATTTTTCAAACCAAACTTTTTAAAAAATAAATAAAAATTAATTATTATTGTACAAAGATATAAACTTGCGTGGTACCAAGTACATATAAAATTAATTATTTCAAACCTAACTCCAAACATAAATATTTTATAATACATTAAAAAATAATAAATCATTCCTTTATTATATATATATATATAAATAAAGATAATAAATCATGCCAACCCTAACACAAGTTATATATTCACAAGATAATTTCATTATATATATAAGGAGAAATTAATGAAATCAAGGTACCGATTGCTAAAATGCATTCACACGGTAATTTCGCATGGACACACACACACACACTTCAAACCGGACCTGCCAAAATACGTTCACGGGATAATTTCCGATCCCCACAGTCCATGTTTAAACATGAAAACTTGATCCTCTCTGTTATCAAAGAGTAACAGGAATAAATTCCTCCCAATAGATTTTACCCGAATTCCACCTTGCAAAGGCCAAGAATGCAAGATAATAGCCTCCGGACCCTTTTTGGGAAAACATTTCTTGTCCAAGATTTTGCCAAATTCCACGCAGCCAATAGATGAAGGGACATATTCACAAATCAACACCAAGCCAGGCAATCAACGCAAGATAAAGCAAAGAATGAATGAAAAATTAAACCAAAGGCCAAAAATCCAATCAAAGATAGCGACAATTGAAAGACATAACAGATCCATGACGACTTGAATCGACAACCATTCCAGATATTAAAATCAGAATGATGTCATGGAGGTTCTGGAAGGACCAGAATGTAATTAATCAGATCTCATCATTAACGCGGATCTTATCATAAAATAATAAAAAAAAAATTGAAACTGAAACTCATTCTGAGATTTTTTTGCCCCTTTTCTTTTGGCCAAAAAACTCATTTTCAGATCATCCTACCAAGTTTTTCCATTGCATTGCCAACTGAGACAGGATCATGCTAGAACTCCCATCTTGTTTCAGTGCATCAGTAGCAGCATTTCGCAGAACTTTCATCGTTGCCCTAATTCCTATTCCTTCATCACCTACCATCACTCTCTTTATCACCATCGCTATATCATCCCTTCCCACTACTCCATTCTCATCAACCTCGTCTGGCCTCACTGCCACTTTCAGGCCATCGCAAAGCGTAGCAGCGATTGTTCTTTGCTCAGCAAACAGTGGCCAAGCTATAATTGGCAAGCCATGCACGACACTTTCAAGAGTTGAGCACCAACCACAGTGTGTTAAGAACCCACCAGTGGCTTTGTGGCTAAGAATCTCGACTTGAGGTGCCCAAGAAGGAACCACCAAGCCTTTCCCTTTTACCCTCTCCACAAACCCATTTGGTAAGAATCCTAAATGGTTGTCTTTTGATCCAGTGAAATAATTAGCACTTGGTAAATCATTTGGTTCTCTCACAACCCATAGAAATTTTTGACCACTCAATTCCAATCCTAGTGCCAGTTCATTCATTTGGTTTTGAGACAGTGTCCCGCCACTTCCAAAAGAGACATACAACACAGACTTAGGTTCCTGTCTATCCAACCACCTTAAACACTCTAAATCACGACTCACATGGTTGTTACTACTCATCCATCCGGCTTGAATAATAGGTCCTATGGGATATAAAAAAGGATATTTATAACTAGGTATGGAAGATGATTCACTTACATGGTTCATACTTCGTCCATGCAAATTTGTTTTAGTACCATTGCTTTGTTCTTGCAAGGCTGTTATTGCTCCTTCTTCTAATTCTTTGAAGCTGTTCACTAATATACCATTGGCAAGATATAACCCTTTGGAACGTCGAAGAAAATGCTCATAAACTTCGCTAGATCGATCTTGAAATGAAGTTGGGAGATCACGACTATGAATTGGTATACAACCTGGGATCTTGATGGGTTCTTGAAGCTCTCTATATTCACACGAAATTGTTTCATGAAGCCATGGCGAATGCAAGCACAAGGAAAGAACCGAGGCTGATGAGGGGAAATATATGTAGGACAATATGTTGAGTGTTTTGGCTAATTCTAACATCTCGTAGGCTAAATAATCAGCGATCAAAGCAACAAGCTTATTGGTTGAGTTGAGTGAGTTCAAAGCATCGCGAATGGATGGAATAAACTGAGACATAGCTCGAGGAACTTGAAGTGATGGATGAATATTGGAGTCATGTGGGAACATGATAGGAGGAAGAAGAATGGTGTGAATGTTGAAAGAAGCAAGAGAATCAATGAGGGATTTGGAGACATTAGAAAGAGAGTTTAGAACAGGAACTATGAAGGTGACTTGTAAGTGTGAATGAAGTTGAATGAGTCATTTGCACACTGCCAGTATTGAAGATTGATGGCTGAAAACAGGAATTGAAACTACAGCGATGTGAGCTTTGTTTTCCATGGAAAAATTGTAGGCTTCTCTCAAAGCATCTCTTGTTTTTCATATGGCTACCTCCATGTGGACTCGAGGAGATAGACTGATAATTGTTAATTATCAAATGACATGTGCACGCGATTTTATGTGAAATAAATAATAGAAAGTGGGGAACGACAATGCATTGTTTTTTCTTTTCTTTTCTTTTTCCCCCCTGAAGGTCAACAATCAAGCAAGTGGGAAACTGAACATAAATTTCAAAGTCACTCAAACAAACTCAAACAGCGCTTAATAACTTGAAAAACTATATATTTAACACATGATTCTCACTCTGATGAAGTCTTCAATTTATGTGTAGGTGTGATATTGTGTGGATTATTAGTTACCTGAAGGATTTAAAACATTTCTTAAAATAAGTGTGGATCTAAATAGCCATACTGGCCCAGAGGCAAGATGATATATATATATATATATATATCTGTATGTGTGTTAAGGAGTTCATGGTGGTTTTGGCTTTGGGCAAAAAATGAGGAGGGGCGCAATCTATCCTTCAAATTTCAATGGTATATATATAATTTCAATATTGTAAACACTTATTTTAAGATGCAGGAGGAGCATGGTTAATCATATATGCAAGAGTGGAGCCTCAAGATCTCAAAATGATTTTTCTTTGATATGGAATTTAAATAGAAGAGTTTGAGAAGATAGTGAATTGATTAATGGGGAAAGCTTGACTTCACATATGGTAGGGTCTTGGTCCTTGATGTGTTTGTGTGAGTTTAGAAGCATACTTGTCCGTTTCACCGTAGCCTCATGCATATATCTCCCACTCATGCTCACTCGGTCGTTTTCGAACATGCAAAATTTTTCAAATAAAAGAAGGCATATTGCACTTAAAGACCCCTACATCTCATTTAGATCCAGAAAACCCCCCTCTGACAATGTGGGCTTGGGTTTTAGGCTAAAGCTTGATCTACCAAGCATGAACTTGTTAAACCCAACAATTTGTTAAGAGTTAATAAAGAAGAAGAAAAATTGATAATTTATAAATCCCAGGATTAAGTTGTTGCAACTCAAAAATGAGAGATATATAGTTGACTTCAAGGATTATTGTGTTTTAATTGATATGTGAAATCTTGTTTCACATCATCTAGTAATTTGAGACATAAGGAGTAAATCTAACGATTGACTTATGGACAAATAGTGATGAACATAATAGATAAGAAAATGCCTAGAAAAGGGAAAGGGAGTTCATATATGTGGACCAGAAGTATTAAAAATGAAAAAAGAAAAGTTTTGATTATAGATGAAGATATCTAAAAAAGATGGCCTGAATAACTACTTTTACAAACTTTTCAATTATGGATTGAGGGAAACTTAATTATGATGTTATGTTATGAACTAAAAGGTGAGCATAATTAGGATAAAATTTATTAGTCACACTATATATAAAAACAGTGAAATAGTAACAAATTTTTCGCTAAACGGATTGCAAAGTACCTACCAAATTTAAAGTGATGCTCTCCTTTATGCAAGACTAATGATGTATAATAGTGAGTGTTGGGTTGATGACACAACAAGAGAAAAAAGTAGTAGATTTGATACGAGAATATTAAAATAGATGTGCGTTCGCATGTTAAATGTCATGCCCTATAATATGGGAGTGACAGGCATGGAATATGCACCTAAATACACATCTCTTGAGCCTAATTCAAGAGATATTTCATTTTAAAAACACTTTTTATTAAATAAAGCCTTACTATTTTTGTGAGAATTCCAACAGGATCCCCCCTGAGAATAGGATTTTCCTAAAATTTTTACAATACAAATTTTTAAAGAAATATTATATTATCTAGGAGCTTAGCTCCTTCCAACCACCAGATAAAATATTACAAAGACTCTAACCATAGCCTAAGTGGAACACCTATAAAATTATTTATAAAAGTACAATATATAAATTGAAATTTTACATAAAAAATTTGAGATTAACCACAATGATATCTCAACTTTAATTTGGTAGCAAAATCCCTTGAATGATCTAACTGAGGTATATGCTATTTAAGACCAAAATATTTTTCAGTGAATAACGTCCCAATCATAATATTTTACAACATTAAAGTGAATAAAATATAATAGTTATATAAATTAAAGAGAAATTAATTCAATATAAATGAATTTGTAAGCTCGAAATAGAAGTTCTATATAACTTTAATATCAATAAACTTTAAATTTATAGCGACAAAGCAGCTTTAACATTTAATATTGACAAGTCAAAGTAATTAAACAAATATATAAATGAAAATAATAAAATTTGCTAATTAAAAATCATTAGAGCGTGAAATAATCAATTAATTAAAACTTCATATTTTTAGGATTTGTCAGAACAATTCACAAACATGGATACACAGTCTACGAGGATAAATAACCAAACGCGATTATGCTACAAAGATAAATATAGACACACAGTCCACAATAATAAGTCATGAAAACATAGGTACGAGGCTCATAAATAATAAATGTGAAAATAGAGCTCATGAAAATCAAACTAACTAGTCGTTGATCATGGTGCATCAAGGGCTAACGGAACTGCCATTACCAGTGTTTTGTATAAAATCCTCTCTAAATTCATTTTCAAACTTGCAAGAAAGTCATCACTATTAAAATACAGTTTTCATTCTTAAAATCAAACTCACATAAAGAATTTTGAACATTAAAATCTTGCCAAAATAAAATTTCATAATTAATGTTCATGCTCGCATGTATTGAGAAACCAAAGTTACCAAAGTTGATAAAAATAATTTTATCAATCTTGAAAATAACCTTTGGAAGGAAAAACACATACATGTTATAATTTAAATATCCTTCAACATCTCTTTATAATTTCTCAAGATAAAAGTAATTTAATTCACAAAGTATTAAGTACGTAATATAAGCGTTATTAAATAATCAATGATTTTTTTTTGGAAAAAGAATTTTCTTCATAAATCAATTGGGAAGCTATCCACTTACCTGTAATATTTTCAAGTGCAAAATTCACTCTTTAAAGCTTCAATCCTCCCTTACTACCTCAATCAAGATTTTCTTTCTCCAAATTTCCTATTCAATAATACAAAATTTTAGTGACCTTTATCCATGTTTAATAAACTCTCGTCCTATAACAATGCTATAGTCACTAAGTTCTTAAATCAATCTGATATATAATTAAAGTTCTTCAGTCCTATTCACTCTTTAAAGCTTCAATCCTCCCTTACTACCTCAATCAAGATTTTCTTTCTCCAAATTTCCTATTCAATAATACAAAATTTTAGTGACCTTTATGTTTAATAAACTCTCGTCCTATAACAATGCTATAGTCACTAAGTTCTTAAATCAATCTGATATATAATTAAAGTTCTTCAGTCCTTTCAATACTTTATATATATATATATATATATATCCAAAGTTTTTTCTATATCACACTTATCTTTTCAACTCGCCTCAAGCACAAGTAACTAAATTTTAATTAAAGTATATACATTACATATGTGCACACCCAAACTCTATTAATTTAAAAGAAAAAATATTTCTATAACCCACTTTATTAAACTCCTTAAATGCACCCCAAAATGAGTCATAAATTAACACCATAATTTATAAATAATCAACAATGTCATTTCCAAAATTTAGTTGACCACCAAATAACTACATAATCAAAATTCTCTACAAGGCTAAGTTGACTTAAATAGAGCCAATACCAAATCCATTACCATAAGAATTAATAAATTTCATAAATTACATAATTAGATAAAACTCCTTCAAGTTGACATTTTTGTCAAACACCTTTTATGTGTTAATTCTTAAACTCAAATCAAACATTTTTTCCTTGATTCCATCCTCCAAAAGTTTTACAAAATAGATATTTGAATAAACCAACCACTGAAATTCCATAAAAATAATTGTCTTCTAATGATAGTCTGTTTAATCAATCAACAATATCAACATCATCATCATCATCATCATCATATATATATATATATATATCATACCATTATATAACAAGACTCCCTCTTAGTCATTTTATCGAACATCAATCTCTTATTAAGCTTCTTTTCATTCAATTCTATTTCCCAAAAATTTTCCAATATCAACATTTGAATGACTTTGCTTCTAAACAACTAAACCCATATCATTATTATTTTTATTTTAACAGCTGTAGAGCATTTAAATCATAAACACCTGCTCAAGGATTGCAAAACTTCATTCTAGCTTTCTTGAATTTCACCCAATTTATCTCCTATCTACATAATAGTCACAAAAAAGGAGGAATTTAAACTCCCAAATCAGCAACGTAGGATAAGAAAATTTGCAATCTCAACCATTACAACACATAGGAATGTTTAGCTTGTACTCGTTCTTATTGGCTCAATATCATCTCGATCATATTGAGCAAGTCTCATTGTGACTCAAAAACAATTGAGACAGGACTTTGTATAACGGGACAGGAAAGAGTTCGGGATGGAACGAGACACGTGATTACCATCGGGATATCTCATCCTGTCCTGAATATTTTATATATATATATATATATTATTTTAAAAATATACATTAAATATATTAATTATATTAATATAATTTATACTTATATTAATTATGTCAATTATAATTTCAATACTTGCAATTCTTATTTAAAACTAAAGTTTTTTATATTGATAATTTTAATGATATAGATTAAACAGGACGATATTTTTCTTTATAATATATTAATTATATTGACATAATTTATTATTATATCTATCTATTTAATAACTTTTATTTATATCATGTTTCTTACTTTATTTTTGAAAGAGTAATTAGCTTAACACATCTCAACTAAAGTAGAAGAATAATGATTTAATGTTGTACTTGACTTGCATGTTGTTGCTACTCTTATAGCCTAGAGATCATTATAATTGTTGTGCTTGACTTGTATGTTATTGTTGCTCTTAGAGCCTAGAGATCACTTATAATTGCTATTATAATATATAGTTGTGATTAATTTAATTTAATAATTAATTT